TTATTTGATTTGGTTTTTGGAAGAAATCTTTTTTTTTTTTTCACCAATTATGCTGGAAATTTTAGTTATGTCAATGCTTGTTGAGTCACTGATCACTGGAAATAAATATGTAGCATTGTTTTCATACTTTTGAATGGTATTTTTTTTGCTTTATTCCTTCTCAGAAATTAGGATTATTTAGCAAATAAAAACAAAGTTCTCGAGTATAGACCGTGTACTTAAATACGTTGCCTGTTGATTTTTAAACTTTTGGTATTAGTTTACGTCATGCATGAAATAATAATGTATCAGATTAATTTATGCAAGACGTGAAAATTAAAATTTTTTTCTTTTCAAGGACATCGCTCTAAGTGACTAATTAAACAATCAAACTTTCAGAATAGGTACATATCAGTTTATGCCTTTCAAAGCGACAAAGTTGACAAATATGCGCTCCTGTCCGATTGCATCACTTGAAGCTTGTTGCTTTAGTGAAAACAAAATACGTTTTATCAATTGTAAGAAGCTAGCTGTCAAGTTATGTTTGTTCAAGTTCTTAAAACAGAAAAGCAGACAGTGGCATTTGCTGGCAGATTAGTTTTACTTCTTAGACGCTATAAAAATTTAACACCTAAGGTAAAGAAAAAAATCGACACAAACATTATTCCTACAAAACAACAAAAAAGAAAAGAATGCCGGAGTGTGATCAGGAAAAAAAAAGAAGGCCACGCTTCCAAGGAAGCTGTAAATTCTGTGATTTCAGCAGCAGTAGAGGCCAGCCGTTGTCGCTCAGAGTACAACTTTATTCGGAACAAAACAACTTGAAGAATAAATAGCACTTTTAGAAATCTATTATCCCATATACCAATGAGAAATGAAATTATGTAATGTGTGCCCCGGTGGCGCTTTCAATGGATAACGAAACAGAGAAAAATCAAATTGTTTAGCATTTAAGCAGATATCCAGTGCATGATCACTCTAAGGTGTTGAGTTCGAAACTTGTAGACTGGAGTAACTGCAGTACGTCAACCCACGTAGAAGAACCAAGATAAAACTATAACAATATTTTTTGCAGTCTTCGTTAAACATTTTACGTGTTTGTGCATTTCTTGCTTCCCTTAAAAATATTTTAGTTTTTTTTGCTGGTCTCGTTACAGTTTTAATGATAGCTTCAGCTGTTAATTTGCCAACGGTGATATAAGCTATATAAATCAGTGACCCATGTACAGCAGTAACAAATCTGAAGTAGCTGTGGGTCACTAATATTAGTATCATCTGTCAACAGCAGTATCATCAAAATCCAATTCAGCGGCTTTGAAAACTCGTTCTAGTATTCTACCTGCCCGCAATATCATTGCCAAAGATAACTGAGCAGACATTTCGATTTCACTACACTGAAGAGCAGTAGCCAGCTATACTAAGTGTATATAGCATCGCTTTCATTGAATATTTCTCCAAGCTTGAATTATCTCGTCTACATCCGAGTGAAGCCAAAATGAAATAGCATCAGATTGGTCTGAAACCTAAAATTTGACACCCGTTTAAAGAAAAGGGAAAGAAAAATTGAAAAAAAAAGGCTCGAACTTCCTCTTTTGCTCTCTTTCTTGTTCAGGTTAGCCACAGTTATCCAGACTGCTCGGTGTTGCTCGGTGTTTTTTGTATACTTTACTCAAACGATTAAAATAGAACGAGAAAAAACTGCGCGCGAAGGCGCAGAAAGTGTTTGCGTGAAGATGAAAAAGTTTTTGGCAACTGTCCAATTCAAATTCAAACTTTTTCGCCAGTAATGCTGTTTTTTTTTCCAACACACATCGGTTATTATGTATTGGTACCTCCATCTGAGGCTAGATGGTTTTTTATTTCGTGGCTGTTGTTGGTCTGTTAAAGACAAGAATTCTTTTCTGTTTCTTCCGATTGTTATACATCGTGCTGTTGATTTTTATGAGATTAGCTAATCAAACGGCAGTTACAATCGTATCCGTTATTTTGCACACTGTTCACCATGATTTGTCAACACTTTTTGAAGATGCAACTTAATTTGAC